GGGGGGTCTATTCTATGGCCAGCATTAGGGTATCTTAGAAGAGTGAAATTTGTCTTTCCATGCTCTGTGAGGTGCTTCACTGCTATGTCAGCATAAACAGAACTTTTCCAGTGCCTGTCATCCTCTCCAACGATCAAAAGGAAATGGGCATCAGCCTTTTCCAGGGGGATGCGGCTTTCCCGATAGGCTGGATCCAAGGGGTCCACCAGAGCTTCTTTAATGTCATAAACTCCAGGCTCAGGGGCAGAGACTTTGTCTAGGTTAAAAGGAAGCCCTGGCAGGATTAATGTGCCACATGTAAGGGCTGTAGCTGTGTTAGAGATGCAGCCATTGATGCTCACAACCACAGCTATATTTGGGAGAAAGCTAGCCATGGAAAAAGCCAACTCGGCCCCTTTGCCTGAGCCAATCACCCCAACGTTTGGACCTTTGACCTGCAGATTTAAGAAAAAGAAGACAAACAAGGAGAGAAATAGAGAGGAGAAAAAGTGAGCATGATTGTTTATTGGATCAAGAGATTTCTGCTTATTTATTAATTCAACAGGTATTATAGATGCCGCTCAACTCACTCCAAAAAAGCAAACCAAACTCGCTGCCATTGAGTTGATTCTGACTCATAATGACACAAGAAGGCAGAGTAGAACTGCCCCTGTGGCTTTCTAAGACTGTAACTCTTTACAGGACTAGAAAGCCTTGTTTTTCTTGTTCAGCGCCGCTCGTGGTTTTGAACTGACCAACTCATAATCACTATACCACCACTTTATTGAATCTGTTCTGGCCCTAATGAGTTCTTTCGTAAACATTTCCCTTAACGATCCCACTCACCTTTGAGTGACTTTGCACAAATTTAACTGCCTCCTCAAAGTAATCTAAATTTAAATCCTTCATGTTTGCAGGTAGATCTTCATAGCCAAAAAAGGGCAAAGCCAGAGTAGCAAAACCTCGACAAGCCAGAAGACTCGCTCGAGATTCGTTTAATCCTCCATCACCAAACATATCAATCAAACCAGGAAAAGGGCCATCGCCTATAAACCAGGAAAGGGGATTAATCAGGTAGTTGACAGAACATTGAACAAGCTATCATACCCAGCCAACATTTTCAACATAAAAATTTAATTGTAAATGTTAATATATTTTTTCTTTAAAAAAATCACCTATTTGCTTTGAAAAGAAAACATGTCCTTTGACTGAAAGAGAAACTTGTTAAGTCTCTCTCTTTTTTTTTAAATACTTTACATCTCTTATGTAAATCCATACATTCTTCCAGTGTGTCAAGCACATTTGCACATGTGCTGCCATCATCATTTTCAAAGCATTCTCTTCCCACTTGAGCCCCTGATATCACCTCCCCATTTCTTACCCCTCCCTCCTCTACCCACCCTCCCTCATGAACCCTTGATAAGTTATAGATTATTTTTTCCATATCTTACAGCATCCTCTGTTGCCCCTCACCCGTTTTTCCATTGTTCGTCCCTCTGAGAGGGAGCTGTAGGTTGATCCTTGTGATTGATTCCCCCTTCGTCCCCTAATCTCCTGGTATCTCTACTCTCCTTATTGGCCCTGAGGGGTTTATCTATCCTGGATTACCTGTGTTGTGGGCTCTTACTTGTAGCACTGAGCATGCACTGGTCTAATCTGATTTGTAAGGTAGAATTGAGGTCATGATAGTGGGGTGAAGGAAGCACCAAAGAGCTACAGGAAAGT